CACCTTAATAACAGCTTCCTGAAAAGGGATCGACGATGATCCCACCCGGTAATAAAACTGACTGATTGATCGCTGCGTCACTGCTAACACTGAGGCTAAATGTTACATGTGGATAAATAGGAGGAGAGCCGTTAGCAGGCTGTAATCAAACTCTATGATCACGTCACATAGACTGAGCTAGCTGCTAATTATAGCTGTAAAAATGTCTCTGAAATTACAGCATGTTTGAGTGGAAATATGTAAAATATTTTAATATTTAAATATAAATGTTTGAACCTTTGTGCTAAAGAATAAACAGTTTTGCTCTTTTGTGCAATAAACACTTTTATTATGTGATTTTTTAAACAGTAAGTCTCTTACCTATATAGCATTTATAAGCATATAAAAGCCTGGAGTAAACGATTTGTCGTTTTCCTTTGTAGCACTGATGGAAAGAGGCTGTTATATAAACAGATTATGACATCTTAGTTAAACACAGATGCCAAATTGTAAAATCCAGTTTCGCTTCATTAGAGGAGAGAAAGATACAATTTAATGTGTTTTAACAACGTGTGAAATGCATGTATTAGCTGTGTTTGGGGCTCACAGGTAAAGGGTTTCTAATTAAAGCTTTAATCCTCAAATAGACATCAAAGGATGTCAAAAAGAAGAATTTAAATGTAGAGTTAAACCAAATTTCACTGTCGTCTGGGTGGAGGCCGAGCTCCTGAGTTTCTACAGAGCTTTGTTTTAATCTCTTCTTACATAATGGATAGAAGACATGCTCAACTGCAGCTGCACTGTGCTCTGTAATCCGGGCATCTGGGTCAGACCCCTGAGAAAGAGCCCCGTCTCCACCCAGCTCCACTGTTCGCTCGCAATTCAGCCCATAAACAATCGGGCCTTTAACGCAGCACAGAAAGCATTTTCAGAAAGCTCCATTTGACGACTGAAACGTAAACGAAGAGCAGATAAATGGCTAAAGATGCATCGTGTTTGCTTCACTGTGTTTGGACAGATTTATTCGTCACAGAGCGAATAATCAGTGTCAGACCTCTCAGCAATGTGTTCTCCCCTTTTTTTTTTAATCTACCCAAATCGACCACATGGCTAATTAGTACGTAGCCTAGCTTTCCCCAGTTTACAGCCCTCACTAGTGCATTCGTTCTCCCCGTTTCCCATCATCTTATGTGCTAACAGGAAGCAGCGCACAGAGTCAGGTCCATCTGCAGGGCTAAACAACACACGTATCAGCAGTGAAACACAAAGTGAGTATCCCTTTAAGCAGCAGATGTGGTGTGTGGAAAGTGACGTATTTGTAAAGTGAGATTAGTTAGTTTAGGATATTTAGAGCTTTTAGCCATCTGATGCTTTAGAGGAGCTTTGCTTAGTTCTTTGGAGAGATGC